GTACGGTTGCCATCAGTGTCTGAAAATCACTCGGCTTCTCGGCTTACACTGATATGTACGCTATTTTAAATATTGCTTCCAAATTTTGGAATTTATACTTCTCGTAGAGAATTTTTGGGTATCACTTCTCTGCGTATTTCTTCTCTGTACACTTCTCTGTATCGTATACAGAGAAGTGCGCATACAGTGATACACTTCTCTGTATCACTTCTCTGCTTATCACTTCTCTGTGTATGCGCATACCGATATTTCACTTGACGCAGAGAATTTTTTTCGGTATCACTTCTCTGCGTATTTATACTTTAAAATACATAGAAACAAGAGATTATCCGAACCTTCGGGAACGCGCTCTTCTAGAATAGATAATCACAAGTGCGCATAAGCATGCAAGCCCATTGGCACTTCGGATTGTGGTGTTATTACGCCTTGTACACCACTGTCGGTGCTGTCGGTGCCGTATAACATATGTGTCGGTGCCGAAAATACAGAATACGTGAAATAATCTGAAAGCTCTAGAAAATAAAATAGTAGTGTGTTTGAGGTGAAATAAAGAGCAAATGAAAGAGGAAATTAAGGGCAAATATGGAAATTTGAAATATGTCGAACTGCAGCGTACTCTCACACCACCCCCCCCCCCCCCCCTCAAAGCTGGGTGGTAGACGTAACACCCTGCTTGACAAGATAGTCGCGGAGAGAACGTCGGGCGTTACTCATGTCTCCTTCAGAGGATCAACTGTCCTCAGAAGGATCATAGCCCTTCCAGAATATGAGAAACTCCAGGGTGCCATGCCGACGACGACGATGTGCAAGCACAGACTTGACCTCGTATTCGGGTTCATCGTTCACGAGGACTGGAGGCGGCGGCGACGGTTGGCGTTCCATGTACACCTTATTCGGAACTCGGTAGGGTTTAACAAGCCGCACGTGGAAGGCGTTATGAATCTTCCAACTAGCTGGTAGGCGCAAGCGGAATGTGACTGGAATGACTTGCTCGTCTACGATGAAAGATCCGCAGAAGCGAGGTCGTAACTTGGATGGAAGGTGACTGAGGATGAGGTTGCATGTGTCAAGGAGCACATGGTCACCAACCGCAACGGTATGATCACAGCGATGGCGATCGGCCGAGCGTTTCTGTGATGACTGTATGTTTTGTAGGCGCTTGTGTGTCCGATCCCAAAGCTGCTGCATTGTGGTAACAAAGTCGTGCGCGTGCTGGACGGTTGCATGTAATGTCAGCTGTTGTGGAGTTAATGGATGTCGACCGTAACGTAGGAAGAATGGGGTCTCTCATGTTGCGGCATGCTTCGCATTGTTGTGGGCGAAGTCCAACACCGGCAAGTGCAAGTCCCACTTGCTAGTGTCGTCCTTGCATGTTGCGCGCAAGAGTTGTTCCAACAATCTGGTTCAAGTGCTCCGTCTGCCCATCGGTCTGAGGATGATATGCAGATGACATCGCAAGGCGTGTCCCCATGAGCGACATGAGCTCTTTCCAAAACTTGCTAGTGAACTTCAGGTCCCTATCGGATAAGAGTGTTGTAGGGATCCCATGTTGCGAGATGAAGTGCTTGATGAACAAATGTGTCGTTTCCTCCGTGCATGCCGTCGTGTGTGTCGGAATAAAGTGTCCCATCTTCGAGAATTTGTCGATGACGACCAAGATGGCGTCGTGCACTGTGTTGGAAGGGGGTAACCCGGTGATGAAGTCCCAGCTGACCACTTGCCAAGGCTGTTCTGGGACGGGCAGAGGCTGTAGTAGTCCTGCTTTCGTCTGCTTACTACTCTTCATCCGTTGGCACGTGTCGCACGAAGTGACGAACTTCAGCACGTCGTCTGCCATGTGAGGCCAGTAGTAGACTTTCGCAATTCCAGCAAGGGTCCCGTTACTCCCAAAGTGTCCACCGTAGAGCACATCGAAAACTCCTCGAGAAGTAACTGCCGAAGAGGCGGGTAGTTGGGTACCCAGATCTTTGTTGATCCTTTGCGTAGTGCAATGTCTTGGTCCCACTGCAACAATTTCTTCTTCTCTGCCAAGGGAATCTCGGGTTCGATGGTATACCCGTGCGTGAAGAGTCCCTTGAGTAGCGGATTCATCCCCTCAACTGGTATGGCGGCAACGTGTCCAGGTCGGCTCAGTGCGTCTGCCTTATTCTTGTGTCCTGGCTTGTACACGATGTCGTACTCGAAGTACGTCTCGAGGAAGTCGATCCACCTAACCTGTCGCCTGGAGAGGGTCGACTGCGTCTTCAGGTACTTCAGACTACAGTGGTCGGTATAGACCGTGGTCTTCCTTCCTTCAAGGTAGCATCGCCACGTCTTGAATGCGGTGATGATTGCTAGGGCCTCTTTGTTATGAATCGGGTAGTTAAGTTCCGCCCCGTGCAATTTCTTGCTGAGGTAAGCAATGGTTGCAGTCCCTTCCATTGGTCTTGCATCAAGACTGCTCCAATTTCTTGGTCGCTAGCATCAGCTTCGATGACGTAGTCCTTTTCTGGATCTGGCAGGATCAGGACGAGTGCGGATGTGAGTGCGTTCTTCAACTTCTCCATGGCTTGCTGATGCATATTCTCCCACTTGAATGGTGTATTCTTCTTCAGTAGATTGGTGAGAGGTGTAGCAATCCTCGCATACTGTGGCACGAACCGATTGTAATAGTCCGCAAGGCCAAGGCATTGTTGAAGTTCCTTCACGTTCTCCGGCGTCTTCCACGTACGTACGACTTCGATCTTCTTTGGGTCCACATGTACTCCTTGAGTGCTTACCATGTGTCCAAGAAGTTGAACCTTCTTCAAGGCGAATTCGCTCTTGGATAGCTTAACGTAGAACTTCTCTCGTCGAAGTATTTCGAAGGCGCGTCGTAGATGTTCGATATGCTGCTTCATGTCCTTTGAGTATATCAGGATGTCGTCGAGGTACACCACCACGCATTCGTCGAATAGAGGCATGAGAATGTGGTTCATCTCTGCTTGGAATGTTGCATGTGCGTTGGTGAGACCAAACGGCATGACGAGGTACTCGTAGGATCCGTATCGTGTCCGAAACGTTGTCTTGTGGATGGAGTTATCCGCCATCCGGATCTGCCAATATTCCGATCTCAGGTCGAGTTTTGAGAATACTGTGGCTCCTCGAAGCTGGTCAAGCAGATCGTCGATCGGAGGAATATGATACTTAATTTTATCGTCTGCTTGTTGAGAGCTCGGTAGTCGATGCACATGCGTAGGCTTTCGTCAGGTTTTGGCGTGAAAAGCACTGGTGCACCGTATGGTGATGTCGATGGTCGAATGAGTCCCTTGTCCAGAAGGTACTCGATCTGCTTCTTCATGTCAGCCAACTCAGTAGGGCTGAGTCGATATGGTGCTCGGAAGGTCGGTTTCAAACAAGGTTCTTCGACGATCTCGTGCTGATGAGTTTAGGGTTTAGGGTTCTTCGACGATCTCGTGGCAACTGGTCTGGGGGGTCGTCAGGGAGAACGTCTTCGAACTCCTCCAGAAGTTTCTGAATCGCAGGTGGAAGCTCGGGTGTCTTATTCTCTCCTTCATCCTCGCCAGTAACTAGTAAGACAAACCCTGCTATGGTTCGTTTCACATCCTTCTCAAAGCGTGCGAGAGTTTCCTCCGGAACATTTCCCGTGTTGCTCCAAATCGGAAGTGGAACTCTTCTGTCTTGATTGTAGATGCTCGCCGTGCGGGTGACCCAGTTGATCTCGGGGTTGAACTTCTTTAAAAAATCTCTCCCAAGGATCAGGTCTAGCCCTTTGATGTTGGTGACGGGTAGGGTCGGTTTCCAGCGAAGAGGACCCATATGTAGGTGTAGCGCTGCTTCGTCGTATACTTGTAACTTGCTTCCGTCAACCATCGTAGCTGTGAAGCTCGAAGGCGTGCACTTCTCATTGATGCGATCAAGGGTCGCCGTGTCGCATACGGAATGGGATGCTCCGCTGTCCACGAGTGCTTGGAGGCGTCGTCCATTGCAGATCACCTCAAGCAGAAGTGGTTGGTGTTGCTCGCTGTACTCGTTGATCGTCTCATTGATTGGATCGTAGGGCACATCCCAAAGCTCCGTGTTATCTCCTAGGATGGCAGATGGCCGGGTCCAGCAGGGTCTTGTTTCGCAGAGATTTTAATTTTCTCGGCGATTTTCCCTGGTAGAGCTCGTTCGTGGGTTGAAGAATTCGCTCCACGATCCTCCAATTTTCATGTTGAACCTGCTCCACTGCTGCGGTCCAGAAGTGCTGAATGTGCGGTTTTCATTTTGTCGCAGTCGATGAGTTTATGTCCCGGCTTGCCGCAGAACACGTAAACTTGTTCTTCGTTGGTCTTGCCTTCGCATCGATTCGATCGAGTTCCATTGGGTCGGCGCACGTGGGGGTAGCCAAGCGTTCTTCATATCGTCTGCTTGTCCATGAAGTCGTTGTATTCTGATCGTGATTACGTCGAATCGTTCCGCTGCGGAGACAACGTCATCGTAGCTGCTCCAAATTGCAGCCGCAACGTGTTGTCCTGTTTCGTTTTTCAGCCCCGCAATGAACGCCCAATTTTAATTGCCTTCCGTTATGTTGGGAATGCGGTTGAACAATTCCTCCATTTGTTGTGTGTGGTTTGCAACGCTCCCGATTTGTCGGTGGCGATGTATTTTGTCGCGGGCGATAAATGCTGCATTAACCAGCTCGAAACGTTGTCGTAATCCTTCTCGGAACTGCTGCCACGTCGCTTCGCCTTGGTGATCCATTCAAGCGCTCGATCCATTCGCCTTCTAATCCTTCTCGGAACTGCATGCAAGCATAGCTAGTGAGGGCGCTCTGCCCAAAATACTGCAGTCATCGTGCCGCAGCTGGGCCCACCGTGGTTCTCTCCCACGATGGGATGCCCGCCTGCGGTTTAACCCCCACAGTGGATGCCCGGTGTGCGCGACGAGGGCGACCACTCCAAGAAACGATGGCCACGAGGAGGAGGAGTAGCGTACGACTGATGGAAGTGAGAGAGAAGAACGAGAGAGAACGAAGCATGGTGCAGAAGAATTCAACGCCACCCCCTCACCCTCTCCCACCCCCCCCACTGCTGCACTCGCAGCAGGGAGAGGGAAATGAAGAGAGAGGGGCAGCAGCTGGTGCGGCTGTAGCTCTTCCTCGGCACCCCTGCACCCTCTCCCCCGCCCCCTCCGCCGCAGAACCAGCCGATGCAGGTACAGAGAGGAGAGCGGGGAGGCCGAGTCACCCACCCCCGCCTCCCCCACTCACGAGCACCACCCACACCACCCCTCGCACGGCAGAGGCCCTGCGACGGACGGGTGGGAGGGCGACGGAGGGCCGCGGGGCGACGAAACGGAGCAGGGTGATGGGGGCGCGGCGAGCGTTGCTTGAAAGGCGCGGGCGGGCAGCTTGCGTCGTTGTAGGCAGAAACGAGAACGCGCAAGCGAGCCGCTGGCGATTTCGCTGGCGGCTGCGCTGGTGCATAAGCGACGGGTGGGCTGCTCGCGAGCGATTCGACGAGCTCGGGGCCGAGGCTCGCCATAGCGATGGGTGGGCCCATTGATATAAAAAATAAAAACGTGAAGGTTCTAGGAAAGAACCTGCTCTAATACCATGTCAAGACACCTAAGTTAGGTTAGGAACTTAGGACGTGGGGGTTTAGGCATATCGAGAGTAACGAGAGGGAAGGTTGGCCGAAGAGGGGATTTACTAACAACAACAGTACAAGATATAGATGCAAGGGAAGGTGGGGAAAGGGGGTACACCACCAAGGAATAGAATAGACATGTGATACTACACTAACTAGATTGTATGCAGTTATATAAAGAATATAATGCTTGGCGAAGAAGTCCAACGTGAATTCTACACTGGTCCGGTGGTTGTTGGCCACTGAGACCACTCGTGACCGTCGTGTCAATTGTCTTCACTCCAACCGTGGGGGTGAGTTTCGCTCTGGCATTCTTTGCAGATTCTGTAGCGAACAGGGCATCACCCAGTCCTGGAACGCTTCCAGAGTCCCCACAGCAGAATGGGGTTGCTGAGCGCCGCATAGGCTTGGTCATGGAGATCGCTCGTACCTCCATGATCCATGCGCGTGTGCCCCATTTTCTGTGGCCCTACGCGGTTCGCTGCGCCGCCCACCAGCCGAACCTCTGGCCTCGTGTCTCACGGCCAGGGGTTTCACCGACCAGTCTTTGGACCGGGTCCCCTGGTGTTGCGTCGGAGTTTCGTGTCTGGGGCTGCCTTGCGCTTGTCCGCGACACCTCTTAGAACAAGCTCTCAGCTCGAGCCATCCCCTGTGTCTTCCTTGGTTTCCCGGTGGACTCTTCTGACTACACCTTTCACCACCCACCCCTCCACCGGTTCCTTGACTCTCGCGACGTCACTTTTAACCAGTCTGTGTCTTACTACACCCGGTACCCCTGTCGAGGTCTTTCGGTCCCCCCCCCTCCACTTTACCTTGCCCTCACTCCTCCTCCTACCCCCGTTCCTTCGGTACACCCGCCCCCCCCTGGTCCTGCCCCGTCTGGTGTGGCTCACGCTACCCCTCTCCCCTCGGTAGCACCTCAGGTTCCGTCTCCTTCCCTGCAGTCGTCCTCACGGTCACCACAGCGGCCTTCGGCACTACCGCGACATGTTGCAGTTGACTCTGGGAGTGTTGGTGTTGGTGTTGGAGATGCGGGCGCTGGGGATGCTAGTTCCGAGGGTGCTGGAGCTGAGGGTGCTGGAGCTGAGAGTACTGGCACTAGAGGTGCCCGTTCCGGGGGTGTTGGAGTTGGAGGAGCTGGCACTGGAGGTGCTAGTTCTGAGGGTGCTGGAGTTGAGGGCGCTGGCACTGGGGGTGCCCGTTCTGAGGGTGCTGGAGCAGGCACTGGAGGTGCTATTTCTGGTGGTGTTGGAGCTAGAGGTGCTAATTCTGAGGAGACTAGAGCTGAAGTCACTACTACTGTGGCACCTGCTCCGCCTCCCTACCGCTACCCGACACGTCACCAGGCTCTTCTTCGACTTGAGCACGAGGAGCAGGAGAGGTTAGCGCAGGAGAGGCTGGAGCTAGAGCAGCGGCAGCAGGAGCTGCAGCGGCAGAAGCAGGAGCAGGAGCAGGAGCAGGAGCAGGAGCAGCAGTAGCAGCAGCAGCAGCAGCAGCAGCAGCAGCAGCAGCAGCAGCAGCAGCAGCAGCAGCAGCAGCAGCAGCAGCAGCAGCAGCAGCAGCAGCAGCAGCAGCAGCAGCAGCAGCAGCAGCAGCAGCAGCAGGAGCAGCAGCAGCAGCAGCAGAAGCAGCAGCAGCAGCAGCAGCAGCAGCAGCAGCAGCAGCAGCAGCAGCAGCAGCAGCAGCAGCAGCAGCAGCAGCAGCAGCAGCAGCAGCAGCAGCAGCAGCAGCAGTAGCAGCAGCAGCAGCAGGCGCAGCAGCCGCCGCCCTTGCAGTCATTGTCTCCACCTGTGAGTGGCCTTCGGGCCCTTCGTCTTCCTTCCCCTCCTCCAGACTGCTCACTGTCTCCTCCTGCTTACGGTCCTACGTTCCCCCCCCCCCGGACTCGTCTCCGGCTGTTTACTCTCCTCCTCGGTCACAGTCGTCTCCTCATGTTGTCCCGCAGGACTGGACAGTTCGCTGTCCCGCTCGTGCACGTCCCTCATCTCCTCATGCCGACCTTTGCACTGTCTTACTTCGTTCAAGTCCTCATCGTTCTCTGCCTCAGACTGTTCTCCCGTCACCTTCTGAGTCGTCTCTTACAGCCTCCACCTCTACCCCTATCACTGACTACTACCGTGCCACCCGTCTTATTGTCACTCGTGTTCTTGGCTCTCTAGTGGTGGACCCTCGTGCCTCTCCGTCGCCTGTCTCGGCTCTTACTGCCGTTGTCGCTGACTTTGCCGCCACCCGCCGCCTTGACTACGCCACCCAAGTGGTGCCTGCCCGTCCTCTGTCCGTCAGGGGTGATTGTGCCCTTGGCTGTGACGTCCTAGATGACAGGCAGTTTGAGCTGGAATTCTTGGCAGCCGCTTCTCCCCATCTCTGTGCCATGCTGTTAGCTCCTGAGGGAGACCCCGACGCCCTTGACATACCGACTCCTTGCACGTACCGTGAGGCAGTGTCAGGGCAGTGGGCCTCTCAGTGGATAGCAGCCATGGACTCAGAGATGGCGTCTTGGAGATCCACAGGCACCTACGTCGACGCAGTTCCCCCACCTGGGGCGAACGTAGTCGACGGCATGTGGATCTTCAAAGTGAAGCGGCCGCCTGGATCGCCGCCTGTCTTCAAGGCGCGCTATGTCGCTAGAGGTTTCAGTCAGCATGAGGGAGTTGACTTTTTCCAGACATTCGCCCCGACCCCGAAGATGACGACTCTTCGGGTGTTACTTCACGTTGCAGCACAGCGAGACTACGAGCTACACTCCCTCGACTTCTCTACCGCCTTTCTCCAGGGCAGCCTGCACGAGGAGATCTGGTTGTGTCGTCCTCCTAGCTTCACTGGCAATTTCCCGCCTGGGACCCAGTGGAGCCTGAGGCGACCAGTCTACGGTCTCCGCCAGGCGCCCCGTGAGTGGCACGACACGATGCGCACCACTCTTGCTGCCCTCGGGTTTCGTCCTTCGTCCGCCGACCCGTCGCAGTTTGTTCGTTATGGCCCACACCTTTCTTCGTTCTCGTCTACGTCGACAACTTGGTCTTCGCTACAACAGACAGGGCTGCTCTGGCTGAGGTGAAGTCCGAAATGCAGAAGAGACACACGTGCACTGACCTTGGTGAGCTGCGCCGCTACCTTGGCTTGCATATCACCAGGGACAGAGCCGCTCGCACCATCACACTCACTCAGTCACACATGGTGCAGCAGGTCCTTCAACGGTTCGGGCTTCAGCACTCCACCACACAGCCTACTCCTCTTGCTGTTGACCACAGACTCACCGGCCCTTTTTCCGACGAGCCCTTTGAGTCCAGTGGTCCCTAGGCAGAGCTTGTAGGCTGCCTCATATACCTGATGACTTGTACTCGTCCGGACCTCGCCTTTCCCCTCAGCGTCCTCTCTCGCTTTGTTGCGACTGGGAGACACTGTCAAACTTATATGCTATAGTCTGTGTAGGCTGTAGTGGGGTAGTTCATATGGGGTACAACACTTTATGGTTTCCTACTTGTACTCCTCATGCTGCTCAATGCAATCATTCCTCGTTCTATCTTTCACATGGTATCAGAGCTTGTGGGCTGCCTCATGTACTTGATGACCTGCACTCGACCTGACCTGGCATACCCTCTTAGCATCCTGGCACGCTATGTTGCTCCTGGGAGACACCGGAAGGAGCACATGGATGCCGCTAAGAGGGTGTTGCGCTACTTGTGCAGTACGTCGGGCATGGGGCTCGTGCTTGGAGGACGGGCTCGAGTTGTCCTCACTGGTCACGCAGACGCTTCCTGGGCTGACGACTTGGCTACGCAGCGGTCGTCACAGGGTTACACTTTCAGCCTTGGCTCCGGTTCTGTTTCTTGGCGGTCTACCCGCTCGTCTTCTGTTCTCAGCTCCAGTTGTGAGGCTGAGATCTACGCAGGGGCCATGGCTGCACAGGAGTTACGCTGGCTCACCTACCTGCTGACCGACCTGGGAGAGCCGCCTCGTTCTCCTCCAGTTCTGTACGTCGACAACAAGGCCATGATTGCCTTGTGTCAGGAGCACAGACTGGAGCACAGAACGAAGCACATCGCTCTGCGCTACTTCCTTGCTCGAGAGTTGCAGCAGCGTGGTCAGCTTCGTCTTGCTTACGTGGCCACTCAGGCCAACACTGCTGATATCTTCACCAAGGCACTTCAGCCTTGTGATCATCAGCGTTTCTGTACTGTCCTAGGCCTAGTGCCCACTTGGCCTCACTTGCTTACTTCTTGACTTTGTCTGTACTGTGATCTCTATACATATACCTGCATGCTTACACTTGCTAGGTTGTGATCACTGTATTGCTTGTTCTCCTTTATATAATTCTGCATGTGAACTGGCCTTGTGGCCATTTTCTTGTGCTCAGAATGCGTGGTGACGTCGTGATCCACCCTGAGCTTGCTTTGCTTTTCTTGACTGGTCTTGTGACCTCTTGTTCTCCCCCACTTTGCCTATGGGGGTGTGTCAAACTTATATGCTATAGTCTGTGTAGGCTGTAGTGGGGTAGTTCATATGGGGTACAACACTTTAGGGTTTCCTACTTGTACTCCTCATGCTGCTCAATGCAATCATTCCTCGTTCTATCTTTCACAGACACCGTCCTGTTCACTGGACAGCTGCTGTGAGGTTGGCGAAGTACCTAGCGACTACATCAGGCATGGGGCTTGTGCTTGGAGGGACACAGCCAGTTGTTCGGACTGGTCACTGTGACTCTTCCTACGCCGACGACGTGGAGACACAGAGGTCCACTCAGGGTTACTGTTTCAGCTTGGGCGCTGGAGCTGTGTCGTGGAGGTCTACTCGGTCGTTGTCTGTGGCTTTGTCTAGTGCCGATGCATAGATCTACGTCGGTGCCATGGCTGCGCAGGAGCTTCGTTGGTTGATTTTCTTGCTCACCGACCTTGGCGAGCCGCCGAGCTCTGCACCGACCTTGTTCGCTGACAACAAGGCCATGATCCTCCTGTGTCGAGAGCCTCGACTGGAGAGCAGAGTGAAGCACATCGACGCCAGGTACTTTCTCCTGCGAGAGTTGCAGCGACGCGGCCAGGCACGCTTGGAATTCGTGGCCTCAGAGGCCAACACTGTAGACATCTTCACCAAGGCCCTTTCGCATGGTGACCACCACAGGTTCTGTCTGCAGCTAGGCCTTGTTGACGTAGGCCGTCGGCTACAGTAGTCTTGCCTCTTGTTGCTTGTTGTACTTATATATTATTCATATATCTGTAAACTCTTGAATTGGGCTTGTGGCCCCTTGTTTGTGCTCAGAATGTTTGGTGACTTCGTGATCCACCCTGAGCTTGTTGTGTTTCTTCTCTTGACTGGTCTTGTGACCACATGTCTGTCATGGTTGTTTTGATGCCCCTCACTTAGCCTATGGGGGTGTGTCAAACTATGCTGTAGTGAGTTGCATGTTAGGGGGTACAAAACTTTCTCGACACTTTGCTTATATCCCCTCCTTGACCTAGTCTTACCCCGTTCTCTCCGTCCCTACAAAGTTGGTTTCTAAGAAGACGCCATGGCGGAGAGCTTGGCAAGGTATTGCGTAATGCAAGCGACCTTTTTTCCCTACGTTGGCTCTCGCCTCAGTTTTCGCCACTCCTGAGGACGCGGTCCATCCTGAATTGGCCGAGTCAGTTACATGGGCACTTCCGAAGGATGAGGTTCCGGGTTCAAACCCCAGTGCCGGCGAGTTCTGCCAGCCCCCCAGAAGGGGGTTTCGCATTGCTCATCTGGGAGTGGATAGTCCTTACATCGATACCCAGCGAGGCGTGTAAACAAGTGGGTAGGCAGATTACGATCGACAGCCGGGGCAATACCAAAGGGGGTTTCCCCTATAACCTTTACCTTCATCTGAGGTCGCGGTCCAATCAGGGCACTCCTCCAAACCAACCTTCCTAAGAGCGCGGCACCATTTTGACGCTTGATGGTTCAACCCACCGACGGTTCGGACTGTGGGATGGTTACAGTTGTCCTCATAAGTCCTCATTGATTTCGTCAATCTTTCTGTACGACGTCGAGCGCGTCATATTGCGTCGCTTTTGCTTTGAGGGTACTTTCCTGGCTCGTGTCAAGCTTCGGGCCTTCCCGGGAAGACCCGAAGCTTTGGGTTAAACTTCCTGTCAAACTTTATGTCTTCCAGAAACAGGGGCAATTTTTGGCTGGAAGATCCGAAGTTGGTTTCGGATGATCCAAAGTGGGTCCAACTTCTGGTCATCCGCGGAAACCGGAAGCTTGACACGAGCCAGGAATGTACCCTGAGACGTCGTAGAAGATCGCAATCGGACGGACTGCGTCGTACACGGTTCGAACTTCATCGTTTCACGATATTGTACCACGCCCTACGTTTGAAACCTCTGGACCTCGGGCTCACCTTCGATCATTCTTTTGACCCTTACTCGAATCGTTACATTCTAGAAATCTAGCATCTAGGTAGTTGGCTCGTAGGCCCTATTCACTGCTTCCTCTAAACAGGCCATGTAACCTAATCTAGCATTCACTTCTCCGTTCCGTTGCCATAGGCGCTACCCTAGCCACTTCGTTACTTGCCGTCCCCTTAGTCTTCTTCCGGTGCGTCCGTTACGCTTCTGCTGAGAGCACTCAAAGTGCTTCATTACTCGTCCCCTTCGCCGCGTTTCCCCCCCTCCCCAGCTCATACCCCTTCGTCAACCTAGCCTCCGCGTGTGCTCTCCGTAACGCTCCCACATCGCGCATCTCCTTTCCCGCATCAGCCGCCGCCACTGCATGGCATGGCCGCATGAGCTCATGCACCCCCACCACCGACCTGCGCGCGCACACGCCAAGACCACCCGCCCCCCCGCCATGTCTCGGCAACACGTCAGAGCGTACCACGAGGCGCAGCGGCCGCACCCCGCGCAGGGCTCGTCCGCCGTGCCCGTCACAGGCGGCGAGCGCGCCGCTGCAGCGGCGCCGCGCGCAGGCGGAGCGGAGGCCGCCAGGCCCGTGACGGGCAAGCTGGAGAGCTTCCTCGCGCACGTCACCCCGCACGTCAAACTGCGCTTCCTCCCCCAGGTACCGCCTCCCCCAGGTAGCGCCCCCTTCGTTCTCTCCCCCAGGTACCACCCTCTCCCATTCTTTCCCCAGGTAACTCTCCCCTGCTCCCTTCCCCGTATACTGCCTTCCCTCTGTCCCCCCGCTCATCTCCCCACCTCCGCACTCCACGCGCCTCCCTCCTCCGCCACTTCCCCCCCCGCGCGCAGGACTGGTGCGACGAGCACAGCAACGGCGCGCGCGCCAAGCCCCCCCCCGGCGCGCCTCCCGCGCCGTTCTTCTTGCTGAGCGACCTGTGGGACGCGCTGGAGGAGTGCAGCGCGTACAGCGCCGCCGTGCCGCTGCACCTCCCCCCCACGGGCGCGCCCGCCACGCAGCACTACGCGCCCTCCATCTCCGGCCTCCAGCTCTTCTCCCGCCTCCCTGCGCCCGCTGCGGGCCCCCCTGCGCCCACGCCCCCCCCCTCCGCCCCGCGCCTGCATTCGCGCAGCCCGCTGGAGCAGCCCAGCCTGGCGTCGTCCCCCCACTCCCCCCACTCCCCGCACTCCCCCCACTCCCCGCATTCCCCCCACTCCCCCCACTCTCCACCGTCCCCCTGGGAGGCGTATTTGGGGGAGGGCGGCAACGGACGGTGCGAGGAGGGTGCGGAGGCGTGGTGCCGCGACTGCAGTGGCGGGCGTCCGCTGCTGGAGTTCTTCGAGCGCGCACCGCCTCACTGCCGCCCACCGCTCTGCACCAAGGTGCCTAACCCTAACACATGCACTGCTGCACACCCCTTGCCCTCTCTTCTTCCAGACGTTGCGTTTGCCTTGCTGGTTTGTTTTGCCCCAAAGAATCGCTTCTGCAGCCAAGGCGTTTAGCTTGGGCTGACGATGCGCCACCCGCTGCTCACAGGGTGGGTGCGGTGCTGCTCCCTCCCTGTGTGTGTCGGTCCACTGCCTTGCGTGCCCCTCTGCCCTGCCTTGCATGCCCCTCTGGGGCAGGCAGGCAGCAGAGCTGGAGCGGGGAGTGCGAGTTTGAGACGACCCGAAACTCGATCCGTGCCGCTGGTCTCTGTGTGCCCTCCTTCCTTGTGTATTCCCCCCTCCCACACGTGCCATGCCATGCCATGCCATGCCATGCCCCTCTGGGGCAGGCAGGCAGCAGAGCTGGAGCGGGGAGTGCGAGTTTGAGACGACCCGAAACTCGATCCGTGCCGCTGGTCTCTGTGTGCCCTCCTTCCTTGTGTATTCCCCCCTCCCACACGTGCCATGCCATGCCATGCCATGCCATGCCCCACGGCGGCAGGTAGCAGAGCTGGAGCGGGAGTGTGCGGTGCTGAGACGATCCAAAACTCGATTCTGTGCCGCTGGTCACTGTATTCCCTCCCCCCCCCCCCACATGCCATGCCATGCCCCACTGCGGCAGGTAGCGGAGCTAGAGCAGGAGTGTGCGTTGCTGAAACGCACCTCGAGCTTGCAGCTTCATCCGCGCAGTTGGATCGCCATCGCCTGGTGAGCACCTTTCTTAAACATCATAGTTGCTGCCACGTAAACATCATAGTTGCTGCCACATAAACATCATAGTTGCTGCCACGTAAACATCATAGTTGCTGCCACGTAAACATCATAGTTGCTGCCACGTAAACATCATAGTTGCTGCCACGTAAACATCATAGTTGCTGCCACGTAAAGTCATGGCGCCTAACTGGGGTGGGGCCCGCTCGAGCTGCCAGCTGCATCTGCGCAGTTGGATCGCCATCGCCTGGTGTGCCTGCCCGCCCCCTTGCACCCCCACCTAACTGCGCTCTGCCAGGCACTTTCCCTTGTGCCACATTGTGCCGCCGCCTCCCCTCTTTCACCACACCCACCCACCACACTGTCTGCACTGCACCCACTCCTTCCCCGATTTCTGTGTCTCCCCAACAATGCCCCCGTTCGCCGCACCCACACCCATGTTCTGTGCCTGCTCCCGTTCGTCCCGTCCCACTGCCATCACCCACACCCATGTTCCCACTGCTTGCTTCCTTCCCCCCGTCCCACTGCCATCACCCACACCCATGTTCCCACTGCCTGCTTCCCCCCGTCCCACTGCCTCCTTCCCTGATTTCTGTGCCTCCTCCCCCACGTCCCGTCCCACTGCCATCCCCCACGTGCCCACCCCCCCTGCGTGCACAGGTACCCCGTGTACAGCATTCCCACGGCCTGGCGCTGTCCCTTGTGCTCCCCCCCCTGTCTCATCCCACTGCCATCCCCCACATGCCCCCCCCCCCTGCGTGCACAGGTACCCCGTGTACAGCATTCCCACGGCCTGGCGCTGTCCCTTGTGCTCCCCCCCCTGTCTCATCCCACTGCCATCCCCCACATGCCCCCCCCCCCTGCGTGCACAGGTACCCCGTGTACAGCATTCCCACGGCCTTGGCACTGTCCCTTGTGCTCCCCCCCCCGTCTCATCCCACTGCCATCCCCCACGTGCCCATCCCCCACGTGCCCATCCCCCACGTGCCCATGCCCCCTGCCTGCACTGCACAGGTACCCCGTGTACAGCATTCCCACGGCCGCCACCACGCGTGATCTCGCCGCCTCCTTCCTCACCTTCCACAGCCTCTCCTCCCCTCTGCCCTCCTCCTCCGGTCAGCCCCTTGCCTGATCTATCAGCAGCCCCTTGCCTGATCTATCAGCAGCCGCTGAAATTGTCGCGCCTTCTTTTTCAAGCCTGAAAAGAGAACTTGGATGCTTTCTTGCTCGCTCCTTGTGCCGATTCCCTGCTTGTGTTCCCTCCCAAGCTGCATCCCTCATGCGCTTTCGTACTCATCGTACATGCTTGCATGTCAAAGTAGCCCTTCTATTTCTTCCATATGCCTGTACCTACCCGCTTTCTCTCTCTCTCCCCCTGTCTGCATCCCAGGTGCGTGCAGCCTCTGCAGAGCCAGGTTCTGGATCGCCCCACCCTCCTTGCCCGTCTTCCAATCCGCCAAGCACTTGCCCGGCCGCCCTTCATCGGACTCCGCTGACGGTGCGAGCGAGGTGAGGCAACGGGGGCTTTTCACGACGCCTCTGGTGCCGTTTGGCTTTGCGGGGTACAAGACGTGGGGGACAGTGTGGTCGGACCGGGGGGCGGTGCGGGGCTTGGAGGTGGCGGCAACGCAGTGGCTCCGCCAGATTGATGCCAACCTGCCCGACCATGCCTTCTTTTCCAGGCAACGATAGACGAAAAGTAGAACGTTTTTTTTTTCTATTGCACATTTATTGGTGTTTTTTATACGGTACACCGCAAGCGAGTGTACCAACAATAGTGCATTTCGAAGTGGATACTACCGGTAACAGCAACGTGCTCCCATGAATAATCCCAGCAGTGTAGACACATCTTCCATTGTAAGAAGCAACATTCACACCACATCTAGCAACAAACAATTGTGTTTTCATATGTCAACCGGCCGTAGTTATATTACATGTTTTGTTCATGTCGTCTCACTTGCATTATTCGTTATTCCGCGCGCGCTTGCAACAGTTTGTGTCTGTCCACCACAAGTCCCACTTCTCTTTTGTCTCTGCCGTTTCTCCGTATGCTAGCAGCAATTCTGTACCTATGCCACTGGGATTGACGCAGTCGGCTCAAAAGTTTTTTTGTCGCGTGTAGGCAACAAAGCTTTCAAGTCTCAAGTGCTTGCAGTCTGCCGTAACGCGTACGACCATCCCTGCTTGACAAACGGGGTAGCAGCTCCAGTAACTAGTCGCGATGGGAGGGCCCGGGGGGGCGAACATCCAAGGTGACGTTTGAGTAGGAGCTTGAGTAGGTGCTCAACTTAAGAGTAGCTGTAGTAGGAATTCGCGATGGGGGGGCACGGCGGGTTGAACATTCTTCCGCAGAAGCGGTGGAACGTGTACAACTACGAGAACCGGGAGAAGGTGCGCAAGGACGAGGCGGAGGAGGCTGCGCGCGAGCAGGCGCTGGCGGAAGAGCAGCGCCTCCGCGACAGCGAGTTGCGCCTTCAGACGCTCCGCGCGCGCGCGCGGCAGCAGCACCTTCCGCTTCCCCAGCAGCAGGCGGCGGCGGAGGAGCGTCTGCTTCCCCCGCAGGACCAAGCGGCGCAACCGTCGGCGGCAGAACATCATGCAGTGGTGGATGCGGACTCGTCCCGTTTGACCAAATCACTCGCTACAAGCATAGGCGACTCTGTTCCGCAAGCGGGCGCGCTTAAAGCGGGTCACATAAACCTCTTCGAAGGCTTAGACTCGGCTGATTTCTCCGCGCTAGCGTGCGGTGAAGGCGCGCAGGCGAGCGACGCGGTGAAGCCCGGTCGCGCGCAGGAGGTGTGGGAGAAAGAGCACAAGGCGGGGGAGGAGGAGAAGCACAGACTAGGGTACGGAGCGGTGGGGAAGGGTGGGCAGCAGCCGTGGTATGCGCGAGCGGGTGACTTGACAGTGGGGGAGGGGGAAGGAGGGGCGGGGAAGATTAAGGGGGATGCAGGAAGCAGGGCAGTGGGAAAGAGAAGACCTGTGGAAGCAGCAGAGGCGAAAACAGACTCACAAAGAGTGACTTTTCAGGAGCCTCAAAAGTTGGACTCAGAAAGAGGAAAGAAGGTTGGACCTGGGAAAGGTATGCTCATCTTGCCTGTAACAGCCTATTCTTTCAGTTTTACTTTATGTTTTGTGATTCGGTTGTTACTCCTCCCCTTTTCGTGAAATTTTCCAGAGATTGTTTGGCTGCTTTGGCTCTGCCTCATCTTTTTCCTCCCCTGGATTTGCGTGTCATTCGCCCAACAGAAATTCACCCTGCAAAAGACGAAGTTAGAGACGACAATGGTGATGACGATGAGGACATGTCTAGTCCGAGGCACAAGAAGAAGCGGAAGCACCGAAAGAGGCGGTCTGCTTCGCAAGACTCTTCTTCCTCCACTTCACTTGCAAGCAGCGACGATGACGATGATAACCACCGCCGCCGCCACCGCAGTTCAAGGAAACACCGTAAGAGGCAGCGCGTCAAAGCGAAAATTTCCTCCGCTGATCGGTCTTCCCCTGAGAGTCCTTCTTCCTCTTCGGACAGCGACAGTGATCTTGGAGCGAGAAAGAATCAGAGGAGCAGGCGGCGGTCTGATTCGCCAGACTCCTCTTCCTCCTCATCCCTTGCAAGCAGCGACGATGATGATAACCGGCACCACCACCGCTGTTCCAGCAAGCACCTTAAGAAGCATCACATCAAAAAGCGATTTTCCTCCGCTGATCGCTCTCCCTCCGAGATTCCATCTTCCTCCTCCTCGGACAGTGACAGTGATCGTCGAGTGGGGAGAAGGCAGGGGAGCAGGCGCAGGCGCAGCGGCAGGGATAGATCCATGGAGAGGGGTGGGCAGCGTCAACGCAAGGAGCACGTCGTGGGGGAGAGGCAGGGGAAGGAGACACGCAGGGGGCTAGGAGCAACAACGGGGAGGAAGGCCAGAAATGAAAAAGGGACAGAGAGGAGGAGGAGGAAGGAGGGCGGAGCTACAGAAGAAGGGATGAGGTGCGACTTGAAGGGTGGTGCTGCGGAGCATGGGAAGAGGAGCATAGAGGCTTTAAGAGCGGAAAGGGTGGCAAGGGAGGCAAGGGAGAGGGAACGAGCACAGATGCTGTTGCTGCAGCACCACCAGACAACAGGGGGGAGAGGATTGGGAGGGGTTGTAGGTTCTGGAGCAGCAGGGAACACGTCTGGGGTGATTGAGCTGGGAGGTGGGGTTGAAGGAAATGGGTTGTTCGGGGGTATTGTGATGCATGGGCCTGAAACAGGACAGCGAAGAAAGGAAGCACGATACAATTCTGGCTTCGGATATGGTCGTTGAATTGTGTTTTGTTGGCTGTCATTGGTGCAGTATGATGCTTTATTGATCTAATGGCTTTGTGACAGGGCAGCTACGGGAGATAATTAGTCACGTACATATCTAATGTAAAACAAAATGATAACACTTGCGGATTGCCGGTGCAACTGGTGTACATGTCTTTAGCGAAAGGTAACATCGGATCAGCTTGCTGATGTGACGATCATCCTGGAATGGTTGCAGCTGCCACGTCAAACGTACGAGTTGACAGGCGCAGCATGTGTGAAGGGATATGGCGGGCACCTCGAGGCTTCATGAGTCGTACAGTATCGGGAAACAAGGCGCAGAAAGCCCCTACGTACGCTTGATGATTGGGCATGTGGATCCGTGGTGCTACAATAAAAACCGCATTGTACCGTATGTAAATGCAGGGAACATTTCGGCAACACCCCAGACCCATTTGGTTTGGCCGTGCTGGTGTGAAGGATGTCTCGTAACGAGGTCGCCTTGACGAGATGTTCGCCTAGGACGGAACTGCACAAACTGCCGCACACTGCGTGCTGCTGGCCTGCCATCTGTTCCGTTCTGTCAATCGCGGTTCGTTAACGTCAGAGTCAGCCGGAGTCCGTCAGTGGGGTGGAGGCGAACAGCCACCTTTCTGCTGAACCTTCATCCCCTCCCCTGACTGGCAGCAGATGTCCAGCGATGAGAAGTCGAGGCTCTACGACGGGCACGCGATATCCCCGTCACGAGTTGACTCCAAAATTATCTGTCAGAAAGCCGTCACCTTCCATCAGCTACAGTTCAAACTGGCTGCAACAGCAACACGTACACTGTACTGTACAACCGCACCACACCATACCAGCAGCAGAAGCAGCAGGCTCCGTTCGCCTCCCTCAACCTCCGTGACCTCCCAACCACCAAAGCAGCCTTGAGCCATAGGTTTCGGTTCGGTATGTCTAAAGCGAAAGACCAAACGAGGCGAACCAGACCGCAAAACAGGCCCGGTTTGCCTGATTACGGTTTTGCAAGGCCAAACCCGAACCGAACCAGGTAAACCAGGCCAACTAGCCAGGCTTGTGTTGCATTGCATGCCATGCGGCCAGCTCTCCTCCACTCCCCCATTTGCCTCCCCTCCACCCATATCTCCCCTCTGCAAGTTCCCTTACCAGCTTCCCTCGATCTCATACCTCCTCACTCTTCCTTTCAACCCCCACTACTATTTGAAGCCATTTCATACCTTTGCTTCAGGAGTCCTCTTATTAGTTTTCTAGTTCCCGCTGCCCTCCTCTTCTATGCTAGTTTTGCTAGGTTGATAGCACACGGTAACCGCAGCCACGCTGAACGATCGTCCTCGCGGGATCAGTGCCTTTTCATCTCGATCCAGCGAGACGCGTAGCCGTCTGAACGACAACTTCGAGCAGAGACTAAACCTCTTTCTATCAACATGGCTCCTGCAGTCGCCGGCGGTGCCAGGGCGAAGAGACGGCAGGCCGCAGGAGCCGCACCCGTAGTAGCTTCAGAAGCGACGACGACGACGGGAGTGACGGTTTCGACAACACCGATGCCGTTGTCGCAATTGTCGGACAACGTCGCGATTGACATGCGTGATGGTCACACGGTGCGATGTGCAGCCCTTTAGCTTCGTGTGGCGTATGTTGCCGTCGTTTACCAGATGCACTTGTCCTGTCTCGCTATCGCCCTTAGACTGATATAGGGTGCGACGCCTCTGCTAAGTCTTTCTTTTATATCTTACCTTCTCTGGAGGGAAGGTAGGTAATATCCAGGCCATATCTAAGTTACTAGTTTCCCGTTTTTTGAACTGTTTCGTTTGCTTGACAACTTATGTCCTCCCTCTCATTATGGTTTGAATCTTTCTTCCCGTTTCCTCATTTGATTGCTTCCTCCTTCCCTTTCCATGACCGATCCGACGGTTCGTCCTTTTTTTTTGTCGAAGGGGTTCCATTCCTCGAGTAAGCTCCTCTCGGAGCTTCTTCCGTTTTGACATGATTGTCAACAGCATAATCGTGATCGTTTTCCCCTCGTTTCTGCCTGATTGCTTTGATGTTTCGCTGCAGACACAGCAGCCGTCGCTAGTGTCGGTGGATCTGAGCAAACTGCACACGTCGGCACTTAAGAGATACCGCCGGCACTTTAAACTGGTAGGATTTTAATAATAATTAAATAAATAAAAACATGAAGGGGTAGAGACAGTTGGAGTCGGTGTTTGTTTGCGTGTGATCTAACACACCACGTACGGAGTCTGGTTCCGTATAGAGCCGCGAGGCCTCTCGTTGCGTGCACCATTGTCAACGTCGTCAGTGTGCCTCGCGGGGTCGAGGCGTTTAAGCCCACTCGGGTACGCCGTCCTCTATCTGTCGAAGCCTTCCCCACGTCGGTCATGTCGCTGGCTGTGCGGGTTAGCTCGCCGTCACTCGGCGATGATTCAGTGTTCTTTCTCTGTTTCGCATCGTCGTCGTCTCATGGCCTTCGCTTTTATCTGAACCGCTGCGTCTGTGTTACTGCAGGCGGAAGTTGGGCCCAACTCGTCCAAGGAGCAGCTCCTGTCGGCCGTCGGACGGCACTTCATGTCGCAGGTGAGGAGTGAGCGCTGTACCGGCGGCGCTAAGAGGGCTGATGACGGCGGTGGTTGATAGGTTCAGCAGTGGTTGATACGTTCGGCAATGCTCGACTGGGTCCTTGCAGGCGGTGACGGTCTGAGTAAGATATTTTGGGTGATACATAACGCGGGTGTGAGCGACTTTCAATCACAGAATGAGAAACGGACCTGCAACGTTCACACACACTCACTCCCTCCTTGCATGAGACAACTCATGGCTGTTGATGCTCAACCTTCTCCCTTCGATTTGTCCCTCCTATCCGTTGTCATTCGCCCCTTCGCCTTCTACTCCGCGTCAGCAATTGGACGAGCTTCAGGTGCTCGCAGGCTTCTTGCAGGCGGCCAAGCGGCTCAAAGTGGCGCACTGACTGCCCTCTGGCTTGCACCGGCCGTTGGGGAGTGAAGGCCTCCAGCTGGCGGAGTGTAGGCTTGCTTGCGCAGCAGTTGCCACGAAAAAAATAGCTAGGGTTTTCGATGCTGCCATGAACATTTGAGTTGAGGGAGCCGAGGGAAGCAGCAGTAGACATGGAGGATAGTTCCTTGCTTGCAAAGAGGTGCTTAGGGGGGTTGCTAGGGAAGATGGGCAATTTTGCGGACAGCACGGGACATCAGCAAAGGCTGATGGTCTGTTGCTCCCAGGAGCCATGCATGTTAGTGCAGGTGCATGTGTCCTGGGGTATACACCCAACACACGTGAGCATGCACACATCATTAGGACACTTGTATGTGTCCTAGGGTATTCTCTCAGCAGAGGGACTTGGTGTATGCTTATTTGTCTCAGGCATCCTCTTGATGCTATTGTTGAACAAAGTGTTGTTGCTGGACTTCTGACATGCATGGCTCTGCTTCTGCTTCACAGAGAAGAGAAACTTCGCTTTGACTAGGATGGGCTGTCACACAGTCAAATGAAATGTTCTGGTCTGACATTCGGAAGGGCAATTGAATTAGGAAGATTCATGTTTTGGCAAATATTCAATTATCAGTGTTGAGAATAATTTGTGAGTTATGCATTCCGTAAGTTTGAAATCGTTAGTACAGTATCGAGTTATAGAGTAAGTAGCACCATCCGAGTGCTGACATCATCATTTCTGCCGAGTCAACGCAGTGACGTCAGCGTACCGTCTAGTCACGCGAACAGTCGCATCCCTCTACAGTGACGAATAGGTACATTTCTGTTCACACCACCGAATAGGTACTTTCCCTAGGCTATATAAACTCATGTAATGCCTTTCTATTATTAACACTGACTTCACACATTCACATGTGCTCAGGCTTACACACATACTAAGAGCTCAGTTCCAGTGACTACGATCCTAAAACGCTTCCGCAAAGCATTTCAACACAAGTATAATTTCATATTCCCAACAGTCAGGGCTCAGTTCGGCAGCCAGGGAGAAGAAAAAATGTAGGAAGATTGGAGGAAGGTAAGGCGACTGTCAACCCAGGGTCTACGAATTTTGACCCTGGTTTGACTGCTCCGCGGACAACCTGCGCCTTGGGGGAGCTGGCGCAGGATGGAGGGGGGAGATAGGACAAAACGACGCAGGTCCAGGCACATTTGCCCTCAATTTCGCCTGTCCCAGGGCACTGTATGTCAAACTATAATTAACTCTTGTAGGCTGTAGTGAGGTGCCTTCTAGGGGGTACAGTTGTTAGGGTTGCATATTTGTATCCCATCCGTTTCTAGTCCTACCATTCCGTTGTGCGTACTTCTTGAAATGTTATCATGAGGTTCGTTCCTTAGCCTAGCCTAGCCTCGCTTAGCCCGCTCCGTCCGTTCCTCTTGGCCCTCGCTCGCTCCGTCCGCTCCGCCCCGGCGCCTCACGCCCTCGGTTTCCTCCCCCCCCCCCCCCCCCCACCCCCCCCCCCTCCCTCCTAGCCCCGGCGCCTCACGCCCTCGGTTTTTGCGCACTTAGCCCGCGCCGACGCCCCTGTGCTCTCGCCTAGCGCTCGCTTTGCCCCTAGCCTGCGCGTCGCCCGTGCGCCCTGTTAGAGTGAGGACCTTGGATAGGATAGGAGTTGCCTTAGAAGAGTTGGTAGCGGAAGTCTTGTTGTAAGAACTCAGATCATAGTGAATGTAGACAGTAGATGACCAAGTTGATTAAAAGATAGAATACAAGGGGTATAAATAGTCCTAATCTAGCCATGTACTCTGAGGGGTACATTCCCTTATTATAACTGCTTTACAGGCATTTCTACAGTGACTCTGACTGTTGTACTACCTTCTTGTTACCGAATCGCTGCATGTAACCTGTACGGTTACGCCTGTTGCAATTCCTCGATGGTAAGTCAAGCGTCGGTCCAGATGATCAACAGTCGCGACAGTTGACTCTTGCGACTGTTGACCTTCCTGCCCTCGATACGGGCTGATCCGATACTGCGGTTGTTGCTGCTTCGACAGAGTCAGGTGCGATACTGCTGCACCTACGGGAATGCTAAGTATAATTCCTCTTCACACTCCAACACTCCCCTTCATTCCTGGAGGTGCGCCACGTGGCTCTTGCGAGTGACTCTGCACAGGTCCGAGTAGTACTGAAACTTCTGACGTGGTAGTTTCTTCGTGAGGAAATCAGCTGCCATTTCGCCAGTTGGACAGTAGGTGAGCTGGACCTTCCCCTTGTCGATTTCGTCCTTCACGAAGAAGTAACGCAGGGCGATGTGTTTCGTGCGGTTGACGAAGCCTGGCTTGTTTGCGATTTTGATTGCGCTCTGGTTGTCGCAGAGTAACTTAAAGGACCCGTTCATCGCCGTCTTCGTTTCCTGCAGGAGCTCCGTGAGATAGAGTCCTTCGCGAACTGCTGCGCTTGCTGCGATGAATTCTGCTTCTGCTGACGAGAGGGCGATGCGTTCCTGTTTGTTGGAGTTCCAGGAGATGGTTCCTGCAGGCTCAAGTTTGAAAATGAAGCCTGTGCGGGACCTCCTGTTGTCTGCGTCCCCAGCGTGGTCAGCATCCACATAGCCAGTGAGTTGTAGTGGGGCTGTTAAGTTGGCCTTGTAGGTGAGGCCGACATCAGGCGTAGAGATGAAGTACTGTAAGGCGCGGCGCAGGTCTGCTAGGTTCTCCCCTTCAGGTCGGCGCAGGTACTGGGCGAGCTGGCTGGCGATGTAGGATAAGTCCGGGCGGCATGTGACGGCGGCGAACAGTAAACATCCGAGCTGCTGCTGGTAGAGACGGTGATCAGCCGGTAAGAGCGGAATAGTGTCAAGCTCGTGGTTAGGCGGGGGAATGCGGAACGGGGTGGTGACACCGACGGGAGCTATCCCGAACTTCTTAGCGAGGGTCTCGGCGTATTTTGCGGCGGAGAGGTGAATCGTATCCGCGGTCTGAGTGACGTTGAGGCCGAGAAATTGAGTGACCTCATGGTCGATAGTGACCTCCAGCTTCCCTTGGATCTCGCGTTCGAAGTGATCGAGCAGGTCGTTGTCGTCGCCGGTATAGAGAAGATCGTCAACGTAGGCAACGAGCAGGATGAAGTGGCCGCGGGATTCGAGGCGGTACATCCCCTGATCGTGGGGAAGCTGCTGGAAACCGAGCTCGATGAGGACGCCATGAAGATGCTGCTGCCACAGGCGTGGTGCCTGCTTGATGCCGTACAGGGACTTTTGAAGGAGACAAACGGCGTCACCGTCTTCTTCAAATGCGTGTGGCTGCTCGGCGTAGATGATGGCGTCGACGATTGCGTAGAGGAACGCGTTGGAGACGTCGATTTTGCGGAGTGGGCGCTGTTTCACGGCGGCGATGCAGAGAAGGATGCGCACTGAGGTATGACGACCGACAGGTGCGAACGTCTGGTCGTAGTCCACAAATTGTGTCTGCTCGAATCCGCGAACCACCCAGCGCGCCTTGAATTTTTCGACCGTTCCGTCCGCGAGAGTCTTGATTCGGAAGACCCACTTCCCTGTAAGGATTTTCCTCCCCTTTGCGTGGCGGCGTGGTACCAGCTTCCAGGTGCCGCGGCGTTGGAGTGCAGCGACTTCTGCGGCCATGGCGGCTCTCCACTTCTCAGCATCGGGCCCGTTGAGAGCCTGGCGAACGGTGGTGGGCTCGACCAGCTGCTGGTTACCCCGTACGGCGACAGCGAGGCCAAGGATGCGAAGGCCCGTGAGGTTGGATTCGGCTGTGGTGGTAACTTCGACCACGTCGTCGTCGTCGCCAGGGATGTCGCGAAAGGTGTCGCGGGAGGAGTCGCGAGTTGGATCTTCGTTCATGGGTGAGTGTATTTATGTACTTGCATAATCGTGCTGTGCCTGTACTGCTTCATGAGGATCGATGTTTGTTGGGAAGTATGCAGGAGTGCCGAACTGCTCCGTAACGGGGATGAAGGGTGCCTCGTCCGCCACGTCTGCTGCTGGTTCGTCCGGTTGTTCTCCCGCCACGTCGACGTCGTCCTCGTCATTGGCGTAGCTGTGCTGTCCTTGAAAAATGATGTCTGGTGCATTCTGTGCAGTGCGGTGCTGGCGGTACAGTGGCAGGGTCAGTCTTTCGTAGAAGATGCAGTCACGTGAACGCGTGAGCTGGTGGGTGGCGAAGTCCAGGATTGTCCAGGCGTGGTATTCGGATTCGATTCCGAGGTGAATGCCCCAGCGAGCGCGATCTTCAAATTTTCCGGTTCGGGCAGTGTGGGGGCGGTACTGTACCATGCACCCGAAGACTCGCAGCATGCGTGTGTCAGGGTGTTTTCCAGTCCACTCCTTGAAGGGTGAACTGTTGTTGGGCAGTGCCTTTGAGGAGAGCATGTTGTGCAGCCGAACTGCATGCGCCATCGCGAAGGGCCAATACTTGGTTGGCACAGCCGACTGCTTCATGAGGGCTCGCATTTTTGTCGCGAGACTCCTGTTGGTTCTCTCGGCCAATCCCTGCTGTTCGTGGGCGTAAGGCAGAGAGATCATCCTCTTGATCCCCTTTTGCTTGCATAGGGGTTTGAAGTCGTCCGACATGTACTCCAGAGCTCCGTCTGTCTGGAACGCCTTCATTTTGTAGCCGTCACTTTGATTTTCTGCCATGGCGAGCCAGACTTCGAAGCAGTAGTAGGCGAGGTAGCGATCCTTGACGTTCACGGCCCAGACGAAGCGCGTGCCGGTGTCGATGAAGGTAAGAGTGTACTGCTCCCCTCCGACTCCTTTCGCCGTGAGCACCAGGAAGTCGCTGTAGACCTTCTCCAGCGGTTTGTATCGTTCGGCTCCAGGGATCTTTTCGGCGAAGGGTGTGTGGCGGAGCGCGGCTGCTGGGCAGACGGTGCAATTGGGGAGGTCGGTTCGTGGTTTCAGCAGCTTTCCATCGGGCAACAACAGTTCGTCTGCCGCAAACACGTTTGCGTTGATGCAGTTGTTGAGCACTTCGATTGATGGGTGTCCCATGCGTTGATGC